CCACCATATGTTTCCAAAGGGTTGTTGTGCAAGAGACAGTGAGCACTCCCATCTTTGGGAAGATGACATTGTGTGCAAGTCCCCAGATCGGAGCGCGTGCTGAACGAAATCAAAAGACGAAGAAAAAATTCTAAGTGCTGAAAGAGGAGTCAGAACAGGGATGTTGCCGAGGGCAGGGATACCTGATCTCCTGATCTCAGTGAGATCTGTACTACACCTTCTTCACCCGAATAAAACATACGGTCATCATTGTCGTATCTGGACGGAAAGATACCCCAAAAGATACCCCAAATGCAGTTATAATGACCCTACGTTGTATTCGGGCGAGGAAGGTACTAGGGGAAGGGGATGTGGGAAGAGAGATCGGGGCGAAGGGGGGGGGGGTTAGGAGGAGGGCGGATCGCGATGCGGGAGGAAGAGGGGCACGGAGATCAGGAGAACGAGGGGGGAGCTTAGGAAGGAGGGAGGAGCGGTATTCGGACGGGACAGGGGAAAGGAGAGTCGGGACTGTGCTCCATCTTCAAGTTGCTGAGCCTCCCGTCTCTGAAGAAGGGGTGGTAAAAAAAAAAAAAGAGGGGGTGGTTGGGAGATTTGAAGGAATAGTATGGGCGGGAGATTATAGGTATAGTGTTGTCGGGATAGACACCGACGGGGATCGGGGAGAGGAGGAGGAGAAAGAGGTGGAAGGGGGAGATGGGGATGCGGAAGGAGGGAGATCGGGGTGGGAAAGGGGGGGGGGAAGGCATGGTTGACTTAAAAAAAAAAAAAAAAAAGGCATGTCTGACTCACTCGCTGATCATCATGACCATCAAACAGGACAACAGCACGGGATAGAAAGAGAGGGAGATTGCGGGGAGGGCCAGGAGCGCGAAAGGGGGAGACCAGGATGTTGGCGGAGGGGAATCGGGACCATCAAACAGGGCCATAGCCTGGTGACTTAAGAAAAGAAAAAACAACAAAACAATGACTCTCTCTCTCTCTGTGTGTGTGTGTGTGTGTGTGTGTGTGTGTGTGTGTGTGTGTGGATCCCTCCTACTCCCCGTCCTCCCGTTCTTCTGCAACGCACGTATGATGCATGCTGGTGGAAGGACGACGACGACGAAGAGGCGGACGGGGGAGATCGGGAAGTGAGGACGATGATAGGAACAGACGTAGAGTACCTCATGGGGAGGAGGGAGGGGAGGAGGGGGGTCGCACACGCACACACACACACGCGCGCGCGGACGCGCCGGTGTTTTGTTCAAAAATAGTAACGTACCTTGATCCCCTCCTTTCAAACGTCGAAACCTCGCACTCTTCGCTGCCTCGACGAACACACGCACACACCATGTTCTGTGTGTGTGTGTGTGTGTTTCCCTGACACATGCGAACGCACCGGTGTGCGAACAACAACGTACTTTCATCCCTTTACTTTTGTCTTTTTTGGCTTTCTAAAAGGTCGAGGAGGAGCTAACGAGTGTTGTAAGTTGCGAGGCTGCAGCGACGGCCTTGAGATATCTCATCGTGAAACTGACCGGCCCCAGGTTTGTAATTCACGAATTTTGTTCATCTGGTCGGTTCCATTTCGATTCGAACACAGGTCTGCATTTTAGCAGTTTATGGGTGTACCAACTGAGCTAAGGCAGTTGACACATCAGGGCTTTTGTGCAACAAGCATTTGGGTAATATGCTCATGCATGCTAAAATTAGGGCCTCGGCACACCACTGTCGAAACGAGAAAGCGAACGAATTCATTTCCGGCGGAGAAGGGCAAGATGCATCCGTTACTATGAATAGCAATGGATGCATCTGACCACTTCCGGTGGCAGATGCATTCGTTCTCTTTTCCTTTGTTCTTGCTTCAATTACCTGTCAAATCTGGACAGGACGGCCTTTCAGGCCTTTTTTATTGTCATTATAGTATTACGGGGAACCCCGGAGCAGCCACATCCGTGCTCAAGCCTCCAACGAGGGAACATGCGGGAGCTGCACCCACCAGCAGGTGCGATACCTGCAACAGCAGGTGGGCGATACCAGCCAGGGGTCAGCCGGTAGCATCAGGACCGAGCTTCGTCGATGGGCCAGTCACTGTGCCTCCCCTCAACCCACGGGGCCGAGAACTGTCTACAACAGAGTGTGCCACTTCTAGGCAGCTGTCCTGAAATCCCTGCCCCTCCCTCTTTTTTTTTTTTTTTTTGAAAAAAAAGAAGAAAACTGCATCCCATCACTTGTTACCCAGTTTGAGTATGGGCCTGGCTCTACTACTCTCCAGGTGTGCAAAAGGCACAGAATACTGCCGCGTATCTTCCCATGTTCTAGCGGAAGAGTCATTCCCATTTTGCACATTTGGTGAGTAGAACTGGAGGGACGCTCTATCTATTCGTGGGGGGACCACACTCGCACTACCTATTGGTGGGGAAGCCACACTCGCACTACCTATTCGTGGGGAGGCCACACTCGCACTACTGTCTTCCTCTCAACCCAGGTGTGTTGTCCAACTTTGCAAAATGCCCCTACCGGGTACCGACCACCTTTTCAAAATGCCCCTACCGGGTATCGTACAACTTTGCAGAATGCCCCTACCGGGTACTTGCCAACTTCCCCTAGGCGCTAAAGCAAAAGGACAAGGCCCAAAACGGGAGGTCCAGATTGCAAAGTTTCACACCCGCCTGACAGGGGCACAACACAAAGATTTCGACCCAAAAGGGCATCCCGCTCTTCACACATCTTTCAGGGGCATTTTGGCACTAATCTCAACTTATGAGAGTATTTTGCAAATTCTCACTTTCTTTTTTCACTTCCGACTTCGGATGGGTTCGGGCTCGTTAGCCGTGGTATGACCGCGCCCCAAAATTTGAACCATCCCTCGATTTACGTATGCCACCCTCGCGCGGGCGCGATGCTAACCTTCTCTGTGTCGTTCCAAGTTTGACGGATGTCGCCAAACACGCTCCCAAAAAAATGCCGTGATTGCTCGCGCTCGGCGCCGCTCCATTGCTTGCGCAGTTCCAGTTGACGTCATCGCTCGCGCCAGTTGCCCTGCCGTTTTCTCTTGCGGCTCCAGTTGACCTCATTGCTCGCACCGTCGTCCTCTTCAAAGGTCAGTTGCTAACCTCCTCTCTCTCTCTCTCTCTCTCTCTCTCTCTCTCTCTCTCTCTCTCTCTCTCTCTCTCTCTCTCTCTCT